AGGGCTCGATTGAAGTCAGTATACGAGAGAGAGCTGATGGTCATAGTCTTGGCCATTCAGAAATGGCACCCTTACCTTTTTTGGATAGGCATTTCATTGTTCGTACGGATCAGAGGAGTTTAAAATACCTGTTGGAGCAAAGGATGGTGACAGAGGAACATCAGAGGTGGCTGCCAAAGCTTTTAGGCTATGATTTTGTGATCCAGTATCGACCGGGGGTGGAAAATAAGGCGGCTGACACCTTATCCAGATGTGTTGCGGAATTTCAGGAGTTGGCAGCTTCAGTACCATTGATGGTTAATTGGGGGGCCATCAAGGAAGAAAGCATACAAAACGAAGAGCTGAAGAAGATCATGGAAGATTTGATGAAGGATAGTAGTAGCCATTCGGGGTTTTATCTGGAGGGGGAGAGATTGTTATATCAGGGGAGGTTTGTGAAGTCACGAACATCAGTACACATTCCGCACTTATTACAGGAATTTCACGGCAGTGCAGTTGGGGGTCATTCAGGAGTACATATGACATATAGGAGGCTGGTATCGGAGCTTTACTGGAAGGGGATGTATAAGGATGTTGAGAAGATGGTGGCAAGGTTTGAGGTGTTCCAGGGAAATAAATATAAGGCAATGGCACCAAGAGGGTTACTCCAACCATTCGCACTTCCAAACAGAGTTTGGGAGTAAGTGTCCATGGACTCATCGACAGCCTACCTTGCTCAGAGGAATTCATAGTCATTTTGGTCGTGGTGGACCGACTTAGTAAGTATGCACATTTTATCCTCCTACGATATCCTTACACCGCAGTATCAGTAGCGACAACATTTATCAGGGAAGTTAGATTACACAGGATTCTTGAATCGATTGTGTCTGATAGAGACAGTATTTCTCAGCCAATTTTGGAGGGAGCTTTTCAGGATGCAGGACACTGTTTTCAAGAGAAGTACCGCCTATCATCCACAGACAGACAGATAGACCGAGGTGGTGAACTGAAGCTTGGAAACATATTTGAGGTGTTTTACTTCTGAAATACCACGGAAGTTGGCTAAATGGTTACCATGAGCTGAATATTGGTATAATACTTTGTACTATTTTGCGTCCCAAATAACTCCTTTCAAGGCGCTCTATAGAAGAGACCCTCAACACTTAGTGCATTTTGGGAGAGGAAACACACCAGTTTCTTCAGTCGAACAATACTTAGATGAGAGAGACCAGGTGTTGGAGGATTTAAATAAACATCTGGGGAGGGCACAACAAATCATGACGAAGCGAGCAAATACACACAAAAGAGACATACAATATGAAGTGGGGGAGAATGTGTTCTTGAAGCTAAGGCCCTACAGGTATAAATCAGTGGCTAATAGGAGGAACGAGAAATTGGCTCCGAGGTACTTTGGTCCCTACGAGATTTTGGAGAAGATTGGAGCAGTGGCGTATCGTCTAAAGTTACCCTCCTCCGCTACCATACACCCCGTGTTCCATGTGTCACAATTGAGGAGAGCTCTAGGGGAACATGCAGTGAGTGCAGAGTTACCTGCCACAATGACAGAGGGATTGGAGATGGTCATGGAACCTGTGGAGCTGGGAGGGGTGAGGTTTGATAAAAAGGGAAACAAATAGGTGTTGATCAGATGGAAGGATTTTCTCGACTACGAGGCTACTTGGGAGCCTTATGAGAGTGTGAAGCGCCCGTTCCCTTACTTTCACTTTGAGGACAAAGTGAGTTTTTGGGAGGTGAGTAATGTTACGCCGGCCCAGGTGGGGCTGGGTGCTTTGCCTGAACCGTTCCATAGTGGACCGGTTTGGTTTTACCACCGTTGGCCCAAGCAAGGGGGGAGTGGGGGGCCGGCCACTGCTTTAGGCCCCACACCTTGATTAATGCTTGTTTGGAGGGAAGAATTTGAATTAGGGGTAGTTTAGGGAATTTGTAATTCTCTTTTGTCTTTAATTAGTGGTTAATGTTAGAATTAGGGTTTCATCTTAAATTTGAATGAGAATTTGGGATCTTCTTGGAGGCATGGGCTCTAGTCTTCTTGGCTAGAGATTTTGGAGAGTTATTCTTCCTCTAAAATTGAAGAATATTGTATTGTTGCTGTTTTTATTCATCTACTAGTAGAATACAAGTTGTTTGCTTTGATTTCCTCCAGATTTCTTTTCTGTTCTCTTTGTTTTTCACTGGTTTTGACTGATTTCCTGCTGTAAACAGCATTCTCTTTTCTGTTGGTTCACCAATTTGGGTTAGGTTTGCTTGCAAACTCAAGTATTACCTTAGGGTTAGTGGGTTACTTGCGAACTCAAGTATTTCCTATCACACCACTGATAATTCTTATTCTGCAGAATATATAAATATGATGGCCATCTTGCAATGAATCTGTTTAACCCTTTTGAACCAGTAACATTTTTTTTTTTCTTTCCATTGTTCTTCATTTATGTATTTTCTTGTCTTCATCTAATATCTCCTGATGCAATCTGATTCTATAACTTCTTCAGGTGAGCGGCTAAGTCCTTGGGTTGCTATGGGATGCTTCGCTATGGGTGTTTCCATGATAATATTCTAAGGCGTCGCTGCAGTTTTTTGGCTGGTTTATTTTCTCCTGGCTTTCTAGCGTAGCGATGTAAGAGATTTGGGTTTCGTTTGTAGCAGCTTTCTTAATGTTACGAAAAAATTGCTTTAAGAAATAGTAAGAAAACTGTCCTAAATGAGCCTTGATGGTAATACTGCATATTTCTCGTTTACATAACATTGTATTTGAACAAAGGCTTTGGGTTTTCGATCGATTCTGAAGGTTTGAATTTGTTTAGCTATGTTTGTTAAGTATTGAATCAAACTCAAATGAGCACAAGCTTTTTATGTGGTTAAGGAACTTCTCAGTGCAATGCTGAAAGATTCATCTTTTAACAATTAGAATGTTGAGTAAATGGTTCATTTGATTATAAGATCTAAGGCTTTAGAGGGCTATCGATACAAAAGATTAGTATATTATTGATCTTTGAAAGTGTTGAGGCATCAGTTTTATCATTAAAGGTGATATCAATTAATGTTAACTGGCTCTTAGAGTTTATTTGAGATATATATATATTTTTTAATATTTTTGCTCTCTTCAAAGTGGTGGCTATTTTGTCTGGCTATTATTTTTTTAGAAATTTTTATGGTGAGTAATTTTTTATGATTAAATTTGTTGAAGTGTATATATATATATATATTCGCAATAATTTTTTTAAAAATATGTTTGCTTATAAATTTTTTATGACTATTAGTACAAATAATTAGAATCACCCTAAACTAGCCCTTAATTAAGTTAAATGTATTTATATGCTTTGAAGAAAAAGCTCGTTACATTTCAAGATTAAAGAAATTTCTTATTAGATAATTTATGCTTCGTTTGGGATGACTTTCTTATTACTTCTTAAAATAACTTTTTAATTTAAAAATTTTAATGTTTCTACTAAAAATTACTTATAAAAATAATAAGAAAGTTGTCTCAAATGAAGCTTAAATGAAGAGTTAGGCTTTATTTGGGATGTCTTTCTTACTGCTTTTTAAAACAAATTTTTAGTACAAAAATATACTAAAAAATTGTTTTAAGAAGCAGCAAGAATTGTCATCCCAAATGAAACTAAATCTTTTTGGTAGGAAGCAGAATTCATCATTTTGTTTTCTTAAGTATGTCAGCTATATTGGTTTATATGATTTCTTTAATATTTTAATAGTACTATTGTGGTTATGATTTAATAATAATTGTTTACTACTTTACTACTTCAATATTCGTGCTTCAGTGTTTTACTGGCCTTTGCACCATATTGATTTTTAGCTTTTATTATTTTTTTGCTCAGATTCATAATCATATTGACTGGTAGAGCTATAAATTAACTCATTTCATACAAACTATTTTTTTCTTATGTTTTGAGTTCATTTGTAGGATTTTGGAGAGCGTTGAATTTTTTAGCTCATTACATATAATTTGTATTATTTCAATTCACATAATTCATCAAGTTTTACTGTTGTTTATATATATATATATTGATCAGTAGATTTATTTCCGCCGACATTTTATTATGGGAATAAATTAGATAGCTCTTATCGTTCTATTTCAAATTTACTGATCAAAACATCTCGAGAAAATTCTGGGTTCAGGCTCGGTTCAACTCGTTTGACATATGGGTCGAGTTTGGTTTTGCATGTCGACTTGCTTCAAAAATAGGGTCGATTTCGTGTTGACTCGAAAATCCAAAATCGACACATGTTGGCTCGTTTAGAAAATCCTGCCCTCCCATCTCATGACTCACGCAAGCAGCATGCCTTAGATCTTTGACTCTCCCTCTATCTCTCGATCTCATGACTCACATAAGCAGCAAGCCTTACCTCTCGAGCAAATGGACCTTTTGCGACCACTCGTAAGTCACACCTTCTTATGATCTGTCGAATCTCGATCCGCAATGGGTTTTGCCTCCTATAGCTCCAATCGGTCCAACCACCTTGAGATGCCACCTCCTGCAGGAGCCATTAATACATTGACTCCAGTCACGATCTTCTACTATGAGTTACGCTACCTCCTGCAATAGCCATTAGATCTACCGCTTGTCTTTGGCAAGGAGAAATCACACTTGAATGCGCTCATTTCATGTTTGCGGGTGGGGTCGAGTCAACCCGGTAACCCGCATGGGTCAGGTCCAAGTTGAATTTCCTAACCTGTTTGCAAAAAAAGAGACAAGTTAGGATCAACCCGTTTAAACTCGGGTCAATCCAAATTCGACCCGAACACGCAGACCCATTTTGACATGCCTATAGAGATGTGAATGATTAATTTATTAATATGAAAAATTCTTATACGTTTTGGCGTTAATGCTTTGATTTTTCCGACTTAAGGTTCCCGTTCTCTCTTTTTTGGCCTCTATTAGACGAACAATTATTACGTCCTCCGACCGGACGTAGAGGAACGTCCGGTCGGAGGCAAATTCCCGCCAAAAAACGCAAGAGCCATCCAGTATCAAGATAGCAAAACATTACAAATTTTCCAGTAATTTCCATGAATTTTTCCAGCTCATAACTTTGTCAAAAATGTTCCTCTTAATCATAAACAGCAGAGAGATATGACAAAGAGAAGAATTACCAAATCTACGAGAATTCCTTTCTTTCCAGATATGATACATTGCACAAGACATCACAACTTTGTAAAAATTTTTAAAATCAGCTTTGCCTTTAAATTCCAAATGCATCCAATCCAAAAACTGCATAAGATTTGGCCTTAAAAGAAAGCTATTGAGACCAGGAATAAGCTTAGAGATAATATCAAATGTGTAATGGCATTCAAAGAACAGGTGATTCACAGATTCTTTGTGCAAAAGGCAGAGACTGCACAAATCCGGCACAACAATATTCCTAGCTTTCAGAGCATCAGCAGTTTTCAGACCACCTTTAACCGCAAGCCACATATAAACAGCATGTTTAGTAATGTATTTTTTAGGCCAAATCAGCTTATACCAATCACAGTTGGGGGAGTTAGAGTAGAACTCTTCCATGAAATCATTAAACTTTACATTGGCACATTTTTTTCACAGCAAACAATTCCCTTGATCAGCAGCAATAGAAAATTTTTCACAAATATCCCTCACATTTCTGAGTCTTATTTCCCTGTGACCAGCGACTCCACGCACGTCCACGTGCTGCAAAGGTTCCTTAGTTCGTGTATGAGCTTTAAGATTCGCACAACGAAGCTAATCTTGATACTCACTTCCAATTATTTGATTGATCACAATATATATAATTCATAATCGGTCTCTCTCTTCGTAATCCGAAAGCAAACTCTACCACTAGAGGAGAGTTCCATCGGCACAGAGAACTCTAGTGTTAGGGTTTGCGAAACTAGGGTTTGCCATGCCGAAGAACAAGGGAAAGGGAGGTAAGAATCGGAAGAGGGGAAAGAACGAAGCCGACGACGAGAAGCGCGAGCTCGTCTTCAAGGAGGACGGACAGGAGTACGCTCAAGTCCTCCGCATGCTCGGTAATGGCCGCTGCGAAGCTATGTGCATCGATGGCACCAAGCGACTCTGTCACATCCGAGGCAAGATGCACAAGAAGGTCTGGATCGCCGCCGGCGACATCGTCCTTGTCGGCCTTCGTGATTACCAGGACGATAAGGCGGACGTCATCCTCAAGTACATGCCTGATGAGGCTCGCCTCCTCAAAGCCTATGGAGAACTACCGGAGAGCACGCGTCTTAACGAGGGTATCGCCGGCGGCCTCGACGAGGAGGAAGATGGCGCTGGGGATGACTATATCGAGTTCGAGGACGAGGACATCGACAAAATCTAGGCTTCCAGAGATTACGGTTTGGAATTTGCCTCTGCCTTTCGATGACCGTTTTCCCATTCTGCTCTTGTTCTCTTTCAGTCTTTGACCATTATTACTATTATCTTGTCATACGTTGAATATGAGATCCTGTTATAATAATTACTCCAAATGATGGACCAATATGTCTGTAATAACTTGATAGAAAATTGTGATTTGAATGTTCCCGATGGATATATCTGCTACTTGTGTTGGATTGGCTGGGTGATTAGGCAGCTTGTGTTAAGGAAGCGTTTATGTTTGTAGCTTGATGGAATTATGGGATTTGAATATATCCTTTGGATATTTGTTCTACTTATGTTAGATTGGATGCATGTTTATGCATCTTCTGTTAAGAGTGTATTTCTAAAGGAATAACAAATCTTTATGAACCTTGCTCTTCTTTAGCTGTGATCAAATCTGAACAAGCAAGTCTTTTGTTTTCTTTCAACACATTTGCTGCTTTCTTCTTTATCTGTGTCCTGTTTTTTTTCCTAAGTATAATGAACTATTCCTTTTCTTTCTAAGGATTTTAACAGTCAGTTTTAGCCCCATTGCTCTAATTGGTATTTTTTTTACTTATGCCATCACACTTTTATCTTGCCATGATTGATGTTGGAGTCATTTTACTATTTTTGTGAAGTTTTCTGTTTTTTATTTGCTTAAATGTCAAACTCGCCTCTGCATTTTATAGCTTGGATATTGTGAACATTATTTATACATCGCTTCGAAGATATCCCTCTTCCTTTTCTACTTTATTGATTGATGAGAGAGGCTTGCATAGATATGAGTGATTGTATCTGTTTTTGTTTTGAATAATAATGCAAATGCAAATCTTCGAGGGCTAGGGGCTGAACCAGTCTTAGCTCTTAGAGGGGGAAAACTTATAAATAACACATCTACACAGTGTGTTTAATTATGCTAGAGGAGCAATCACCTAAAAATCATAGTTTTTAATTTTTTTTAGTGGGGGCAATTGCCTGAGGACTCCTATACCGGACATTAGGGGGTTCCGCCCCTGAGGAGGGCTATATGATTCAAGGGTTACATATTTTTTATACTGGTTAAGATGTTAGCTTGTCATATTGGTATGCCAAGTGTTCAAAATTAAGGTTGTATTTGTTTGCCTTAAGCCAGATAATATGTTTTTGAAAATAATGAATTATGCTAAACACATTATTTGATTGAATATAGTTAGAAATCGACTCTGACTCTTAAGTTTCACACACACACAGTGAAAATGAAAGATGAAGAAGTCATCTTCCAAACATATTTTCTATCTACCGACAACCAAATGAGCCGTTTAAGTACATGTGGTCTCATTTTGATAATGGTTCAATGGGTCTTTAGAGATATCAGCAATTCTCTAATTGATGTGTTGTTTGCCATCTGTTTCATGGATTTCTATTGAATAGTTTGATGCTTGTTATGCGCACATAGGCATGATCCTGCTTTCCGGAGGTAATTGTCATTCCATGTATTTGGATTATTGGGCTGGTTGTTTCCTATTGAACATAAAAGTTAATTAACGAAGTTGAACAATGATGGAGGGTATGAACACCATCGGCAACATTTTTATAGAAGGATTATCAAATGAGTTTCCATTACTTAGGGAAATTTAACAAGCAATTGATCTAGTGTCAGAATCCCAGCTTACAAACCCTCATTAAGCACATAGAGTTGAACAGGTAAGTAGTTAAATTGCTTAGCAAAAATTTTATTCATGAATGCCTAAGCCCACATGTGGTCCCAGCTTTTTTGGCTCTTAAAAAGATTGCACTCAAAATTTATATTATGAAAAAAGTATAAGTGCCAGCCTTCGGTTCATTTGAAGGGCCAAAACTTTTGCAATGAGTTGCCTTCGGCACATAAAAGACTATATAGGTAGGGCTTCATTTTATACCTAATGAGAGGTTTAAGAGTTGAGAAAACTAAAGAATATTACGTTTTTTTAATGATCATTATCGACAATTACCTTTAACAATCATTACAGCCATCGTTAGATTTTTGTCATCTGACTATTATCGCATAACTATTCATATGTAATTTTGTTCTAGATACTTAATTTTTATAATCCCTACAATGAGAATTAGCCAATTGTTCTTAATTATGTGTAATTACATCCTCTTTGATTGTGATAAATACTTGATTCTTATATCCTTCATTATTTAATAGATTCATTTAATTGGGGAAGGCTCGATGATTTTTTTTCCCTTTTTTGATTTTTTACATACAAATTTAATGTCTCTTAAAAACTTGTATCCATGTGTATTTAATATTTGCATAAAGTTAAGAAATTAAAAACTCTACTGCCATAAATTTTAGCACATAATAGTGTAACGCCAACTGTTGGAAATCATATACCAATATCTTATCAATATAATAGCTATCATTAGTAAACCTAGAACTTGTTGTCATTGCAAGTTCATCTCATCTTTTCATGACACTCAACCGGCATTGAATCTTTCACCTATCTTAGGAGAAATTATTACATCCGGTCAAAAATCGAACGGTCCGAATGTAAACCGAGCAATACCGAGTCCAAAATACCGGGTTTTAGGTGACGTGGCGCGTGGTTATTGATCTCTGAATGCATTCGGACACCGGATGTAATAATCGCTCCTATCTTAGTGGAGTGAACCCGGCCTCCACTTATGAAAACTCCTCGTGTATAATGAAATTATACGAGATGAATTATGACATCTTATTTGAGATGAATTTTCTATGAGAGATGAGAATAAGCTTCTTCCTTGATGTAATTTTTAGGAGTTTTCATCTTTAACAGATTAAATTCTCCAATTTCTATTTTCGTGGGCTTTAATTTACCTTTTAATGATCTGTATGATGAGTCATATATTCCTTATGAGCATTTAAATGAGTCATTTTGATCATTATAAGCCTATCATATATATTTAGCAAGTTTTTAATGCACTTTTTTTTATCAATTATTTCCTGCAACTCGAAAAAGTCGAGCTCACTTTCTACTTATTGGTAATAGTATCCACAACTTTGGCCATCTTGCTTAACTTTTTATCGAATAGTTTATTACCTATTGAAGAATTTTCAAATATTCTTGTCATCTCTGGGGGAATCTAACAAAATAAACGAGAATCCTAAGAAGAGCAATTCAAAGATTTTCCTTTTAAGTTCATCTAGGGGTGCAAACGAGTCAAGCCGTCTCGCGAGCCGGCTCGGGCTCGACTCGGTATTAGGCTCGATGAGCCGAGCTTATTGAGCTCGTGAGTTGAGCTCAAATATGATTTTGAGCTCGATAGCTTATCGAGCTCGAGCTCGAACAGGCTGATGCTCGACTCATTAGTTTGTCGAGCAGCTCGACGGCGTAACTTGCAAGAGGGAAATGCAAACCCACGAAGCGGGAAATTGAAGTCGCGAGCGAGAAAACAAAGTTGCGAGCGGGAAAAAAAAGATGAATCTCAACGACGTGACGATGACGGCGGGGCGAGCTCGACGACGATCTCGATAACTGGAAATTTCAAGCTCGACGAAGATCTCGATGGCAAACGGTGGGACGAGCTCGATGAAGATCTGAAAAGCAGAAAATTTTGAGCTCGACGACAGACAGTGGGACGAGCTCGACAACGATCTTTAAAGCAGAAAATTTTGAGCTTGACGATGATCTCGATGGCAGACGATAGGACGAGCTCGACGACGATCTCAATAGTAGAAAATTCTGAGCTCGACGAAGATCTCGACGGTAGACAATAGAACAAGCTCGACGACGATCTTGATAGCGGGCATTTTTGAGCTCGACGGCAGATGCGACGAGACGAGCTCGGGATGATGGACTCGACGACAGACACGAAGGTGAGCGATCTCGACAACATACAAACCTCAGGGCGTCCACGATTACGCTAAGACTGCTCGGTACGATGATCTTGACAGTAGATGCGACGACGATGACGAGCCTCGGGAGGACGGACGCTACAACCAGTGATGGATCTCGATCTCGATAGCGGAGCTCGACAGCAAAGCTCGACGAGCCGCTCAACAAGAAGACGAGTCGACCTCGAGCTCGGATTTTGAGCTCGACTCGAGATCGAGCTCGCTCGAGCTTGGTCTTTGAAAGTCATGCTCGACTCAACACCACCTGACTCGAGCCCGACTCGACTCATTTGCACCCCTAAGTTCATCAAATTCCAATAGTAGATCATGAGTTATTGCTAGGCATCTTTCTTGAAGGTCTTCATCTCATACTTTTCTAATCCTCATTGATGTGAAAGACAACTCATTTTTATGCTGATTTTATTCATAAAATAGAAGCACAAATTATTAGTGATGAAGCAATTCATACACATTGAAAATAATTTGAGCAATCATCTAGCAAACGAAACAATGCTCAAGAAAGTATTCCTTAAAAATAAGGAAAGTATTTCCTCCTCATTAACCCAACAATAAGGAAAGTATCGGCCATCTTAATAAGAGTGAATATATAAATAGTTAAAAGGAACGCATGCTGCTTAAGGCATATGGAGTTAATATTTAATAGCAAGAGATCGGGGAATATTAAGTGGCCTCATCCTTTAAAATCAAATTAAGAAAATATTAAGTAATATTATCTTTTTTATCATAGTCAAGGACATAAGCTACTAAAGCATGCTGGAAATTGAAAGAGAAAATTTATAGGTTAATCCAACAAGGTTATCTTTGCCAATTTATTCAGAATTGAGCTGCTTAAACATGAAATAGCCCCATTGGGGGGATCATTAAAATTAGGAAAATTTACATACATACCGTTATATACTTATTATTTTACATATCTAACACCTCATACATTAATATTACACATATATCACTCAAATCCCTAATTTATATCATTTCTACCACCCCATGTAACGCCTTCCTCATGACATTTTTCTCCCATCTTGTCGGGCGAGAATTTGAGAGTAAGTTAAGGCAAAACTGAACGGGGAATCGCAGCTTGCAAAAAGGGGGGAAGGTAAGTTCTGATGCATGTTCTCATTTTTGTTCAAAATGATTTGGTTTGCTCGGAGACTGGTTTGTTGTCCGTCACCTACATGCTGAGTTTCATTAAAAATTATCGGACCTCATTAAAAATTGCATGTTCTCATTTTTGTTCAAAATGATTTGGTTTGCTCGGAGACTTGTTTGTTGTCCGTCACCTACATGCTGAGTTTCATTAAAAATTATCGGACCTCATTAAAAATTGGTGGTCTTCATTCCTAAGTAATTTTGTTAGCTTTTCCTGGGATGGTTCTTTGTCGGACTTCAAAATGATTTTGTAGCTATTAAAAACTGAAGTTATATCTTTACCAAATTACTAATGAAGATGCAGAGGACATTACAATTTGTTTATCCACAAAAGCTACATATCATCAAAAAAAGGTTAGGAAGACATTACCGTGAAGGACAATGCGAGCACTA